GAAAATTTAAGCGAAAGCTAGAATGTAATGGCTTTCAAATCACAACGATTTTTTACGAACGGCAGATAGGCACAGGTGACGTCAACTCACGAACAAGCACGTGACTCCCCATTTCAGATGAAAACGAAAGTAAGAGCTTTTGATAAAAAATAATTTATGATTAACATTCTTAGAAAAGTAATGAAATGTTTTCTGAGGGTTTTGAAATTCTGAATTCATCGAGATTTTAAAATAAAAAAAATTACTGTAATTGTCCATTAGGTATTTGAGAAAAGTGATTTAAGGCACTAAGCTGACATTGTGAAATACTGTCGTTCAATATCCGATGGAGACTTGAAGCTCACTCAGCTTCAGAATGATTGATAACTGCTCATTTGTAAGTCAATGCGATCTGTACATTGCTGATCACCATGCACCGTCAATTTCTCTAAACAAACATGGTACCTTTTTTTTCCCGAAGGATTTGGATTTCCTACGCTCAAGATTTTGAGGGTAGCCACAATCTGAGAAATATCGTCTTAATAGTTTAGTAAGGAGGACGGTCATAAGGTTGACCCCTAAATGTAAATTTTACTTTAATATACTTCACCATATCTTGAGAACTTTATAAGCGAAAGAAAAAATTTTACGCACAATTATAAAATACTGTTATCAAAAGGTAACTCCATTAAAAAAAAAATGTTAATAATTTATTATTTTATTTAATAATATTCGAGTAAATTTTGATTTTTATGGTATTGGCAATCGAAATGGGCTGCAGGTGGCGTATAGCGGAACTCTCTCCCTATAGTAACACTTCGAATGCTTTCCCCATTAACGTGTGGAGAGTCATAGAGGAAGGAAGTACGTTAGTTTCTTTCTTGATTTTCATATAGATTAAAATCTTTTAAGTTTAAAAACTATATGGAACTGAAAACTACATTAAACATAGTTCTAAAGAAAAGCATCATGGAAATTTTAAAAAATATTTTTATTAAATAAAAAGGGAAAATATCGTAGTACATTCCTACACAACTGAAAAGAGGAGGAGAGGGAAGGGAGAAGGGCCGAAGGCATGAAACCAGTCTCTCCCCAGATGGCGTATTCCAGCGTTGCGATCGCCAATAACACTTATACATCATTTTAAAAAATTTAAGTCCCACAGTGGACTGATCGTTAAGACACGGTTCCCAGCAGATCACCGAAGTCAAGCATCACTGGCTGCGGTCAGTGTGCGGGTGGGTGACCACTTGGATCAGTCTGCGTAGGGACCGAGGGTGTGCGGTATTGGTCCTCGTTAAACTGTGCTACCGTAAAGTGCTCGACTTCGCGCGCAGGTCGTCGGGCTACCGAAGCGGGGGTGCCATCCCCTCCGCAGAGGATCAAAATTGTGATGGCATGTCTTCGGATCATCCTC